GCAACTTGATAAATTGATCAAGCATAATTTGGTGGTTGGCTTGAAGGATGTGAGCTTTGAAAAGGATAGATCGTGAAGTGCTTGTCAAGCCAGCAAACAACTGGGCACCACTTGAGTTATTGTGCATGGATCCATTTGGACCAACAACATATATAAGCATTGGGGACAATAAGTATTGCTTAGTGATTGTTGATGACTTCTCAAAATTCACATGGGTTTCTTTTCTCATTGACAAGAGTGATGTCTTCAGCGCATTCAAAGTTTTTGCAAAAGGGGCTGAAAATGAATTTGAGCTTAGAATCAAGAAAGTGACAAGTGACAATGGAATTGAATTGAAGAATACAAGAGTTGATGAATTTTGTGATGAGTATGACATCAAACGTGAGTTCTCAACCATATACACTTCACGACAAAATGGCCTAGTTGAGAGGAAGAATAAGACACTTATTGGTATGGAAAGGTCAATAATGCTTTTGGAGAGCAATGTTAGTGATATCTTTTGAGTCAAAGCAATCAACATGGCATGTCATGCATCAAAGCGATTGTATTGCCATAGATTGTTGAAAAATGGGTTAATTAGAACAATGCCATTATAAATTCAATGTTTTTGAGAAACACCACTGCTTCTCATCTAATAGGGCTGGTACCATTATAATTCTTTCACTCTGAAATATACCACTTTGTGCGCTCACAACATGTTTGGGCCCACACACAGGTATACAAACAACAGTGTACATTCATAAGGACAAAAATGCCCTAATACTTTCTCCCTCTCAATCTCACTTACAATCAGGCCCCATGTGTCATCTCCTTCCTTGCCACCCTCTCCCCCCTCACCGTACCATACGTTGTTGCTTAGCACGTGCCCTTGCACCCTCTCGCTGAATTACATGACCTTTAAATGGCACACAATCTGATACCTTCAGATTTTTTTAAAGCATCCGTTGATAGTTCTATCAATCTCAATAATAATATTTTAAACCCTTTGCCACAAAAGACATAGAGGAAAACTAGGACAAACTTTAGAAATAAAAATCAGAACAGACTAAAAGATTAATATTCCAAAAGATGAGAACTGAGCTTGTGTCAACGAAGAAGCTAGTGAGCAACACACAAAAGTAAATCTGGCATAAATCTTGGGCCAAAATAACAATAGTATTGCAAGAAGAGATATGCTACTATTGATCATGATATCAAACTTGTACTTCCACAGACCATAAAAAAGGCTCCTTATTACTGAAACTACCTAGCTAATTGGATACAAGGTAGACCAAACGATCTTGATGCCCAGCTAACTGACCATGACTAACTCACCAATTGAGAAACCAACGGTAGCAGGATTCCCTAGTGTATCAATCATTGCATCTTCGTGGTGGTGATGGTGTGTGCCCTTAGCAAGATCTGGAAGATAAAACCATGCTATAGCTCAATTTTATATATATCTACATTTGAATGAATGTAAAAACAGGTTATGTACTTGTGTACCAGATTGGCCTTAAATTTGAGAACCTACCATAACTTCTTATATATCTCACCAATTTTGAGAGACGGCTTGAACCGAATAGGAAAAAAAGTTTATCTTCATGGATATGAGATTGCAACTTTTCATGTTCATATATTTATTTACTAGAGAACAGGCATCCCCAAAAAATGATCGTCTAGGTGCAGCATATATATGAAATTGCAATTGCAATATTCTAATTTCACAAACCTGGCCACTTGTCCTGACTCTTCAAATTTATGCTGCTAACTGAAATATTACTTATTGTACTATGCATAAAATCCTTGAATAAACTTAGTAATAACAGAATGAGAGAAACAAGAATGTGCATTGCTCATGTCAAAGAAAGGCACAAGAGAAGTACCTGGAGTATAGAAGCTCGTGTAAGGTAAGATAGCATAGTAGTTCCTCCTTCGCCTACCTTCTTGACTTCTCTTGACTTGAGATCGAGTGCAAAGAGTCCCACACTTGATACGCTGATGAAAATAGTATTTGTTCCTTCCAGCAAGCCAACCACTTCATATGGGTAGAATGGGTCACTTGTTGGGATAAGTGTCTCGAGTTCCATAAACATGCGGTGTGCCGCTCACCAATGCTATTATTAGTATCGACTTACCACGACCACTTTAGATGCAATTATCCTTTTCCACGGAAACAAATCCTAGTTCTCCACCATCTACCTCCATGGCCATGGCCATGGTCTCATACTCTAACCCTCCGGTGACGCAATCAGAGAAAGCACATGTGCACCCAAGTCGAACTTGAGGATGTCACCATCGTGAGAGTAAGAGCTGAAGTACAACGTGTCTCCGATAAGAAGACTAGGTGTTGGCACAAGGCTGCAAGGTCACCAATGGAGATGGAGGGCTCCACAGCCCGGTCTCCGAAGAGTAGATGGCCACCCATGTCTTAGAATCATCGTCTGACCCTGCAACTGCCACGAGGAACGGACCATTGTGGCAGTTGAGGTGGTCGCAGCCATCCACGGCGCACAGCACAGCCTTAGCTAAAGACTAACTTGTCAGCACATGGTTCTTGCTAAACAAATTACATTTTGGCTCTGAGAAAACTGTAGGCATAAATTACACGCCCTTTGAATGGCACACAATCTCATACCTACAGATTGTTTAAAGCATCCGTTGATAATTCTATCAATCTCACTATTAATATTTTACTCATGGTATGATTAAATTTGCCTTTAAACTCTTTTTTTTCTCAATCACGCAAAAGATTTGCGTGTTTTTGTATTAAGTAGAAGAATAGTTTGTTACATCTCGGGTGGTTTACAAGATTAACACTGAGCGCACCCACCCTGCTCAGCTTCTTCTCTAACCTATTACTCGCTGAATTAAACAACCTAGGTGCTTCGCACCGGCCTGGACCCATAGCTCTGCCTGAAGTTTGATGGTTGCCTTGATCGCCGGAATCTGTGTGGCTACTCCGCGGAAACAACGCGCATTACGTTCTTTCCAGATTTCCCAAGCGATTAGCGCGAACATATGGAGTATGCGCCTCTTGCAAATGACGCTGGCCAAAGAGCTCTCCAGGTCTGCCACCAGTCGACAATGGCGCCGGCTGGTTGCTCGGTCAGAGTTGCCCCAAGCGCCGTGGCTGCCTCGAACCACAACTGCCTGGCGAAGGAACATTCGACGATGATGTGATCAATGGTTTCCGGTTCCTGATCGCACAGGAAGCAGGTTGCCACAAAAGACACAGATGAGTAAAACTTGGGCAAACCTTAGAAATAAAAATTGGAACTGAATGAAAGATTAAATGTTCCCAAAGATGAGAAGTGAGCTTGTGTCAACCAAGAAGCTACTGAGCAACGCACAAAAATAAATCTGGCATAAATCTTGGTCTAAAATAACAAAAGTATTGCAAATAAAGAAGAGATATGCTACTCTTGATCGTGATATCTAGGTACAAACTGGTACTTCAACGACAGACCATAAAAAAGGCTCCTTTTTACTTATAAACTACCTAACTGGATACAAGGTAGACCAAACAATCTTGATGCCCAACTAACTGACCATGACTAACTGTCCAACTGAGATAAAATAATTTAGTCGTTAGCAGGATTCATAGTAGTGGATCAATCTTTGCATCTTTTTGGAGGTGATGGCGTGTTCCCCTTAGCAAGATCTGGAAGATAAAACCATGTTACAGTTCAGTTTTACACATATCTACCTTTGAATGAATAGAAAAACAGGTATGTACTTGTGCATCAGATTGGTCTTAAATTTGAGAACATAGTATAAGTTCTTGTATATCTATCCAATTTCGAGAGACAACTTGAACCGAATAGGAAAAATAGTTTATCTTCAAGGATACGAGATTGCAAGTTTTCATGTTCATATATTTATTTACTTGAGAACAAAGATCCCCCCAAAAAATGATCATCTAGGTGCATATGAAATTGCAATATTCTAAATTCACAACCAGGGCCACTGATCTTGACACTTAAAGTTTTGTTGCTAATTGTGCTACTTTTGTACTATGGCTCAAATCCTTTGATAAACTTATTAGAAATAACATGATGAGAAAAATAAGAATGTACAATGTGCTCATGTTAAAGAAATGCACAACAATAGTACCTGGAGTATAGAAGCTCGTGTAAGGTAAGATGGCATAGTAGGGCCCAAGTTATAGAAGCTCCCAGGAAAGAGCACCTGCATGCATCCCGCCTCATAGCTGACAGCGTGGAGTTTCTGAAGAATTTTGCATGAACAGTTTGAATTTTGTAGAGTCTAGAAAAAAATCATTTTATTTTAAATGGGTTTTACCTATTATTACTTCTTTTCTAAATTATAAGTTTTTTTTGTTTTTATAGGTATATAGTTTTTGGTACGCACGTGTTGGAGTTAAATGCATAATGCAGAGCCGCATAAAAGCAGAGCATTCCAGAAATTTTGGAACTGGACACACTGAACTCTGAACAAATAGCACTTGAACGTAGATATGCAGACTGGCCACGAAGATGCATCTCCTTGCACGTGTCAGGCGAGACACGAACTTGCCTCGCTTGCTGATGAACTTCTCAACAATTCAAGTTTACAAGTTGTACATGCAAGTGCCTCTCAAATTAAAGCAGCAGATCAGTTGCCCTGCTTCCGGTTCTTCCGGTCGCCTGCCGTTGTTCACTTTGTTGAAGAATCAGAACCGTTGCTCAAAGCAGCCATCTACCAAGTAGTTAAAGATGCAGCTCTTGGCATCACTTCAGCAGCTTTCTGCGCACAACCTGCTCTTGATGCAGATCGTCCTCGTGATCTCATCTATAGAAATCTTGGGTTCGACATTGCTCGCAATGGGTCTTCAGCTCCTGCCTGAACAGTTCAGAATTCAGACTTCAGAGATGTCATTATTACATAGCACCACGATAAATCTTTTTCACCACTAAAACTGTACAAGGCTCATGAAGCAAAACAAGCCACCAACATTAGTATAGTCGATTCACATTGCAAAAGTCAAGCTTACCTTCTTTTCATCCAGTCACATATTATTACGCATGCTGTTGCTGGTCTGGAGCCTGAACCTGAACCTGAACCTGAAGAAAGCTCTGAACCTGAAGCAGGCCGCGCGCCTCTGTAGCCCATCCGACAACGAAGCCTTCGCGCGACAACCAGCCCAGGAGTAGCATTCGCGCAAGACGGCCAAGTACACGTGTATCTGGGCCACAGTGGACTTGAGTCCTAGGCGTAGAGGCAGCTGTCCTAGGCTGAAGCCGATTGCATAAAAGAGAGGAAACGTGAGGAAGCAGGCAACTATGCCATAGCTGAATTCAACACTGCTAAGTTGTCATCGCTATTCTGCTCTCTCTACCTTTCCCTTTCTTCCACTGCTTCCGATCTCGTATCCTTACACATATTCTAGTAAGCAACTCAATTTCACCTTGAAGCTCCTTGGGCAAAAGATGCATTAGCATTTCTAAAAGCCAATAAGCATCCACTAAATCCTCATGCCCCACTTTTGTTTAAATTATTCTTTGCTTATATATAGACCTTGAGTTATGAGCAAGCTGGCATACTGAAAGCCTTAATCTGAACAAAAAGTCAAGCATTTGTAGTTCCATGTGTGTGCATGAGAGGCTAAAACCTAAAATTACTGCTGGGAAACTTGGGCTCAAGGAATCATAGCATTTTAACTTCGAGTTTTAGGCCTGAAAATGCTTAAATTGGTAGAGAAACAACCTAGTTCTGCTGAACAATAGACAAGACAAAAGAATTTAGCTAATGATCATTCCGTGTGACTCATGTATTGCTAAAAAAGAATCCCAAAATTTCATGTGAAACACACTCACAGTGAAGGCGATAGCATGACAACCACCACAACAAACAAAAACCGCTATACCCCAAAAGCACCGGCAGACAAACACAACCAAGCATGTTGTAGAGAACAGGCAAAAAGCTTGGTGAAAGGGGTTTTTTTTCTCAAAAGTGATTCCTCTAATTCTAATGAGGAAAACATTTACAAATCCGCAAACGCCAAGCAGAGAACCAAGATTTTTTACAACAATGCATCCAACTAGGAGCGTGCCGTCAATGGCATCACCATTGTCAGTCGCGACAGGAACTAGATAGGGCATTCACTAGAAAATCTCCCACCTCCTAAACCCTCATGCCCAAGCACATAGGCCACTATTGTAACACCGAACATGCCATCGCCATGCAATACAAGCCATCGTGACAACTAACGCATCAAACTGCTGCCAGCAGGAGATCGTGGCTACACAAATAATGTCACAGGCACACGTGACATGTCGACACTGTGCTGGCCCAAAAGGGCCGCTACCAACCCAGCAAGAAGTAGCAGCAACACAGCTGCACACGCCTCCATCCAACAAGCTTCTAGATATGCCACGAGCATCCCTATGCAGGTTGTCTATGCAATACCTGCCTTCCATTGGTTGTCACTACGGCAAGCTAGCAACAGGCATGCATAGCCAATCACCACTGATCCAGACCATGCGGACCATAGCCAACCAAACAGACTCCAACACATCACAAATCCAGACCATGCGTGCCAGGTCCTCCTTGTCTACGGGCTTGCCCCGGCACTCCACACCCAGGGGCGGCGTGAGGTTGCACGGCTCCATGGACACGGCCCGCCGGCACGGCGGCTCGGGAACCTTGTGGCCATACGCTGTCTGGTTGTGCGCCAAGTTGTCTGTCGCCTGCCGCTCCTCGTGCGACGGCTGGAACACGGCCACCGTCTCGCCGCCCTTCGCCGCGTGCTCATAGTACCTCGACCTCAACCTCTCGTAGTAGTCCGCGTAGAGAGACGCCACCAAGATGGCCGTGGAGTTGGAGCCATCGCCATTGTCGTCGCTCCTCGTTGCCAGCACACCATTGTCACTAGCGCCGCCGCCGCCGCCGGTGTCCGGCAGTATGTGCGCCTGTCGCGAGCACGCGAGGATCTGGGCGTACATGTCATCGGCGGGGATGGAGCCGTAGCTGAACATCCTGATCTGCACACCGATCCTCCGCTTCACCGAAGCCAGGTACGATCGGTACTACCTGGTGGTCAGACTCCACACGGGGTTGGTCGGGTGGAAGAGGTACCGGGACAGGAGGTGGCTCACGCTCTCCTTTGCCGGGAACAGTCGCCGGAGCTCGTCCTGGAACTCGGCCACCGCGTACGGAGACTGCGCGAAGTAGAGGTCGCTGTACAGCAGCAGCCAGTTGACCTTGGCAAGCACGAGCTGGTGCTCACCGCAGAAGAAGAGCGGGTCCTTGAGCTGCCACCCCATGCTCAGGTACACGTACGCCGGCACGCCCGCCGTCGCGTTCGCGTCCGGGCCGACCACCTTGGCGTAGAGGAGCCTCGTGTACGACTTCTCAATGTGCTGCCCCCGCGGGACCAGGTCTTCGATGGGGAAGTCGTGGTCCACCGGGAGCCGCCACGTCGTGCCCGGGAACGGCTCGCAGAAGAGGTCAGCCGAGTCCGGCGGCAAGGCGGCGAGGAAGATGCGGTCGGTGAGCAGCGCGCGCGTAGAGGAAGCCGCTCACCATGGACAGCATGCGGTTGCCGAGGCCGTCGAAGGGGAGCCACACGACGTAGGTGCACTCCATGCCGTCGGCGCTGCGGCCGGACCGGAGCTGCTCCAAGGACTTGGCGTAGAGCGGCGTGCCGGGGGCGCACCGCCGGTGCCGAGCTTCGTAGGCGCGCAGCTTGCGCTGGAGGTACGGCGACGCCGCGTACGGGAAGTACTTGTAGTACAGCCACGACTCGTACCGGCTCCGGCACGACCGCCGGTCCATGCCCGCCGGCAGAAGCCCGCCGAGGAGGTCGTCACGACCATGAGGAGCGTTCGTCGTAAGCCCTGGAGGCAGGTGACATAGCTTAGTTTTGTCGATATGCAACAGTGCTCACATGCATACGAGGGACGACCGTACTTACCTGCTGTTCCATTGTTCATGCCTGTGAGCTTGGCGACGTCGATCTGCAGCCAGGCCACTGACGACGCGCTATCCACTACTGGAAAACCGAGATTTGCCTAGTGTTTAATGGTTTGCCTAGTGCCAATCGTCGAACACTAGGCAAAGAGCTTATTTGTTGAGTGTTAGACCCCGGAGCACTCGGCAAAATAAAGGCACTAGGCAAAATAACGATTTGCCGAGTGTCGACACTAGGCAAAGAAATCCACTCGGTAAATGACCATTTTGCCTAGTGTCAATACTAGTCATACCATCACACTCGGCAAAGGCTGCCGGAGGGCAACCGCCGTTACCATTTTACCGAGTGTCTTCCGTTAACACTCGGCAAAATTAGAACTTTGCCTAGTATCTCCGGACGACACTAGGCAAACTGGCCAGTTTGCCTAGTGTCTTACAGAGACACTAGGCAAAATATTTTTTCTTTTTTTGATTTTAGCTTTCAATTTTTTCTGTAGCTTTCCTACTATACCTTGACCAACATGTTGAAAGTTGGCACAATTTTATGAAATTTTGCTATATTTCTTTACTTTATTTAATTTCTTTGAATTTTTTCGACAAATGCAAATTTGAACTGCAAGTGTGTCGAATAATGGCAATTCATGAATGCAAAAATGATATTCATGTTAGTAAGTGTTAGTTGAGGCCGTATCGAAAGCAGACCAAAATTTTTTACATCTTCATCATGGACATGACCCACGAACTTGCGAGCAAAAGTCGACGAAATTCATGAAACTTGTCGACAAGTCGAGATATAGCATCAATATGATAAAAATTTATTAAGATTTGATTTAATAAATTAAAAATTTGCTTAGAAACCCTAACATGTCTCGACGTGAAGATGTGTGAAATTTTTTATTCTGCTTCTCGATACGGCCTCAACTAACACTTACTAACATGAATATCATTTTGCATTCATGAATTGCCATTATTCAACACACTTGCGCTCAAATTTGCATTTGTCAAAAAATTCAAAGAAATTAAATAAAGTAAAGAAATATAGCAAAATTTCATAAAATTGTGCCAACTTTCAACATGTAGTATCATTTTATGTAGGGAGGCTCGATAAAAAGTTTGAAGACCAAAATTGAAAAAAAAAAAAAGTTTGCCTAGTGTGCCAGCTAGACACTAGGCAAACTGGCCTCTTTGCCTAGTGTCTCATGGAAGACACTAGGCAAACTTATTTTTTATAGTGTTTGCCTAGTGTTGGGTTATTGAGCAAAGTTAATTTTCAGTTTATATTGTTTGAGTGTTTTTTTATTTAAATTTTTTTTTTCATAGTTCAAAAACATTCATATTTGTTCAGTGTCAGATCTAGGACATTAGGCAAATCAGTAGAAGACCGGTACTACTTGACCTGGTCGGTACTACCGGTAGAAGACCGGTACTACCGCTAGGCCAAAAACCAGCACAATTGTGAAGACCTGTAGTACTGATGAACTTCCGGTACTACCGTTCAGGCAGGTACTACCGGTAAGTCAAAAACTGGCTCAGTTGTGAAGACCTGTAGTACCGATGTACAGCCGGTACTACCGGTGTATCGCCCAAAAGAAATTGAGAGGGGCAAGGCCCAACCAGCCCTTTCCTGCCCAAGCCGCCCCCCCTCTCACACACCCACCATGGCCCCACACATCAGCACCTCTTCCACACATAATACACCACCAGCAGCCATCCCTCTCTCTCCCATCTCTCATTCACGTTGGCAACCAGAGAAGAGAGAGGAGAAAGGAGAGGAGAAGGGAGAAGAGAAGAGGAAGATGAAGAGGAAGAGGAGGACGCCCCTCCCACTGCTGCAGGTCGCCGGAGGAGCTCTACCACGCCACCACCTCGCTGAAGCTGGGGAAGATAAAGCCCCATGGTCATCTTCAACTTCAAGACAAGGAGAAGCTTTCCCATGGTCGATCTCTGTCCTTGAGCAACTCCGAGCCAAACTGCTGCACCTAGAGGTCTTCCACGACATGCAAGAGGAGTAAGAAGAGGTGCATCTCCCATGTAGATCGACTTCTTCCCCACCATTTCTCGCTGCCCTAGCTTTGGGGGTAGCCAAGGTGAGGCGATTCTTCTGTTAGGTCTTCTAATTGAGGTGTTTAGATGGTTCTTGGTCATGGGGATTAGTGTTTGTGGGGGGGGACACCATTTGGATGTCAACCTAGGGTCTGCTGCCCTGTAGCTCGAGCAGTGCTGCTGTTCGTGTGGTTTAATTGACTTAACGATTTTTCCTCAACAAGTTGATAATAAGGAAGTTGTAGAGGACCTTCAGATCTGTTTGCCTGTGAAATTTCATGATTTTAGCATTAGTAGTTTGGGAGTTATGATTTTTCTAAGCAAGCAGCTTTTGACGAAGTCTGGACAAAACTGGATCTAGGGGTTTTTGGAGAAAACATAGAGGCATTATGGGACTCTAGAAATTATAAGAGATTTGTAGTACTTTTCATTAGCTTTCTGGATTGGTAAATATCATGATTTTATCCCATCAGGTTTGAGAGCTATGAATTTTCAAAGTTCGCTGTCAGGTTTGGACTGCATGCTGAACAGATCTGAAGTTTGGTGTTTTCTGACCATGTTAGCATCAAAACTAGCTTTTGTTGATAACTAGGGAGTTGTAGTGTTTTTCTTGAGCTTTCCAAATTATTAAAGAACAATAGTTTTGGTTGGCTAGAACTCCAGCTATGAGTTTCTGAAGTTCTCTGTCATGTTTCATCAGTAAAAGTTTCAGTTAAGGTTCGTCATGATTTTGGGCATCCTGATGACCTTTGATGCAAATTGGAATAATACCAAAGTTGTAGATAATGGATTGATCTATAATCCGGTAAAGTTTCAAGATATTTTGACATAAGGATTTCGAGATATAAAAATATTAAGTTTGCTGTCCTAATTTTCGGGCAGATAATGACTTCTGCTTTCATTTGCAGTTTATGCCTTCTTAAAGGCATGATAAAAAATGAAGTTTCTATACAAAGGTTATAGGGGTTCCTCTAACATACATGGTGTACGAGAAGTAGTGGTACAAATATGCATAGGATGGATAAATGATGATGTTGGCGGTGATTGTGTTAGTACTAGTTGTTGTTGTGTTAGTAGATGTAATTGCTTCCCTTGATATATATGTGTTTAGCGGCCATCGTGCCGTTGGTTCATTGCAGGTTTTGAGAATCTCACCGTATAGGGGAGGTGCTGCCGAAATTTTTAGACGTCTTAATTCGTTTTGTTTTTATTTGCAGGAAAAGAAGGTGAGAAAGGAGCAGAGGCGACCCCGATCGTCTTCCTCACCGGTGTCGGTCCGCCTGCACCGCGTCACCTCACCACTGCACCGACCCTCCACGGCCCCGCTAGCCTGACTCCACCGCCACCTTAGGTATAACCCCTCTTTCCGTATCATGGTTGTAGGTGGCGAAGCCCAGTTAGGCGTCTCCCGTTCGAAATACATACGGTTGGAGATATGTAAATCTTTGCATATCGATAACCGTATGTGTTTCGAATTGTCCACGTTTTTTTGGACAGCCCGCGGCTACGTAGATGGATTAGTTTTCATGGTCTGCTCCTATCCGAGATAGAGTTTCGGTATCACCTCCCTGTTGTTCTCCGGATACACTCTCCTTGTCAGGACATGTATTTGGAGAACAACGGGTAGGTGTTGCCGAAATTCATTCTTAGATAGGAGTAGATCATGAAAACTAATCTCATCTACGCATCCGCGGGTGGGATTAGGACCTATCCTCACCTATTAGATGATAGGAACACCGTGTAGATGCAATTGATGCTTATATTACTCGTTGATACATATGTTAGAGGATGGATGACCGTGAGTGGATGTACACGGGCCACAAAAGCAAGGTTGATTTCACCAAAGAATGGATGTGCAAAACGGATGAGTTCTTGGAGTCAGCTTTTGGCGAGGCTGGTGGCAGACCTATTAAAGCTTTGTGTCCCTGCAGCAAATGTGCAAACAGAAAAAGGCAAAACAAGGTGAATGTGGGTAAACATCTAGTGAATAATGGGTTCACGCCGAACTATACCCGGTGGGTCCACCATGATGGCGGTGTATTGATATGTATGTTCTTGACGGTCATCGTGCCGTTTGTTTTCTTGCAGGGTTTGGAAACCTCTCCGTGCAGGGGAGGTTCTGCCGAAATTTTTTATTGACGGTATCATTTTCATTTTTTTCAGCATCAATCGGGCGTGGCATCGAATCAAATTGGAGGGTCGCCGGCTTCATAGATTGGAGTGTCGCCGGCACCACAGCTTGAGCCGAATCAAGTGGAAGGGTCGCCGGCTTCATAGATTGGAGCGTCGCCGGCACCACAGCTTGAGCCGAATCAAGTGGAAGGGTCGCCTGGAGCATCAAACCACGGGCCTCTTCACCCTTGACAATCGTCGTAATCAGCTTGTTGTGAACTTTGTTAAGAAATTTGGTTGTGCACTTATGAACTTGTGAACTTGTGGCACATTTGGACTTTTGGTATGAACATGTGATATATGTGAACATGTGGTTCTTATTTATGATTCATGTGATATATTTGTGGTGTTTGAATATGATTTATATTTGTGTCACAAATGGAATAATAAAAAAAAATCAGCTTCTGGTTACTTTGCCAAGTGTCAGGGGTCTGACACTAGGCAAAGGGGCCACACGTGGCACACCTGGGAACAGGCTTTGCCTAGTGTCAGGAAACTGACACTAGGCAAAGTAGGCAGTTTGCCTAGTGTCGGAGGCCTGACACTACGCAAAGCTTGGCATATTTGCCTAGTGTTGGCGGCCTGACACTAGGCAAAGCTTGACATATTTGCCTAGTGTTGGACGCCTGGCACTAGACAAACCTTGCATACTTTGCCGAGTGTCAGACCTCCAACACTAGGCAAAACGTCCATTACGATTTCCACCGTCAGTGGAATACTTTTGCCGAGTGGTGTCCTTGACACTAGGCAAACACTTTGTTGAGTGTCCGAAGTTTGACACTCGACAAAGTGCTCTTTGCCTAGTTCGCCTTTGCCGACCCTTGTTTGCCTAGTGTGACACTAGGTAAACTGTTTGCCTAGTGTTTCTGGGCCTTTGCCTAGTGCCTGTGGCACTAGCCAAATCCCGCGATTCCAGTAGTGATCCCGGCTGAGGACGAAGCACACGAGGAGCAGCAGCGTCATCAGGCTGCCGGCGGCGAGCAAAGCCCGGTGACACATACATACCTTCTTCTCCCTCACCGGCCGTGGCTCCACCGCCGGCGCCGCCTCCGGATAGTCCACCAGCTTTGGCACGGTGCTGGCTGCAGCGCCGCCACTCATCGTCATCTTCGTCGATCAGCTCTGTACCGTGCGCACATGGCCGATGACAACGACCGAGCTGCATTTAATGTACATGCAAGCGGCTTCGTGTGCCGGAGGTAGTCCAAACTGGAGATGGACTTCCAGTGCTAGTGGTTTGCACGAACTAACGTGGGACATTGGAGTGATGCGATTGAGTTTTGTATATTCGATTTGTTTATATTCGAATTCGAGGATCATATAACATTTTTGTATCCTATAACGGTCTACCAAATCGAATTTTATTTATGATGGGTGCTAGCCCGTATGGAATTACATATAAACTTTGACCAATAGTTACTCTATTCATATAATTTCTTTTTGATATAAATTAAATTAGCGTCCATGTGCCATTTCATATTTGTTTTGAAAAATACTAACTATGATTAGGGATGAAAACGGATCGGATACGAACGGATATCACTCATATTATATTTGTTTTCATATTTCTGTTCGGATTCGGATTCGGACACGGATAGCGTTCGGATACATATACGAATACGGATTTACTCGGTTACGGATACGAATAATGAGTATCGAATACGGTATGAATCGGATTCGGAAAAGGTCGGATACAAATATCTATTCGGATATTGAGTAAAAGCAGCATATATATATATATATATATATATATATATATATATATATATATATATATCATAATGCATAAAACCATTACACCACTCTATGAGTCCATAATCCACCTAGATTAAGCCGAAAGACTAAAGAGTAAAGCAACAAATAAGATAAAGATACATCATACATCATACATCATACAAGCACCAATCTTACGTGGCATGAGTAGAAATAGCCAAGCTCATGGCTTCATGGGTCTCATGGAGTCATGGTCATGGATTCAAGATCTACAATCCTTATATAGGCTATTTTTTTATTTGAGAAAGTTTGAACAAAACGTAGTTCAAATTTCACAAGTGTGTGACATAGTTTTAGAAAGTCTGTATGAGATTTAAGAATTTGTGACTAGTGTTTCATAAAACTTTCTCAAATGGGAAAATGAGCTATGTAACAATTGTAGATCTTGCTGAGATGATCAAACTTGGTATTCAGAGTTTTTTCATCTGAGGTCATTTAGTGTCTCATTTGAGCAAGTTTGACCAAGTCAAATTTGGTCAAATGAAAAAACAACACTTTGACTCTAGTATTATGAACTCTAAATGACTTCAAATTGAAAAGTTTTTAATACTAAGTTTGTTCAACTCATCAAGATCTACAATTGTTGTTTTGGTCAACTTTCCATTTGAGATAGTTTGGACGGTTCAAATTTGTGATTTTTAAATTTCGATGCTTACAAACTAGTTTTCGGAACCCTAGATTGTCTCAAATTGAAAAGTTTTGAATACTAAGTTTGTTCAGCTCATCAAGATATACAATCCTTATATAGGCTATTTTTTCATTTGAGAAAGTTTGAATAAAATGTAGTTCAAATTTCACAAGTGTGTGACATAATTTGAGAAAGTCTATATGAGATTCAAGAATTTATGACTAGTGTTTGATAAAACTTTCTCAAATGGGAAAATGAGCTATGTAACAATTGTATATCTTGCTGAGATGATCAAACTTGGTATTCAGAGTTTTTTCATCTGAGGTCATTTAGTGTCTCATTTGAGCAAGTTTGACCAAGTCAAATTTGGTCAAATAAAAAAACAACACTTTGACT